CATGGTTTCTGTAACATGCAGAAAAATGTAGCATGAACACAGACTTGTAAAAAACACTGGGCGTTTTGGGTTTTCTTCTGCCTAAGGTGCTTATTATAAAAATCAAAGATCACAGAGTCAAGTAAACATAGGAAGGAAAGAAAGTCTAAAAGAGCACCATCTATTTCAGTATTTTAAACACAGAGCCAGAGGTCTCCGAGGAGCTCCAGCTGGTTGTCTGCTCTGGTCACCCTCAGGTTGGGGAGGAGAATGCCTAGGAGGGGCTTCTGATTTGTTAGCATTGTATGGATCAACAGTGAGAATGTATTTTTGTATGTTAAAATTTTATTTACTTATTTAAAACATTTTTTAACATTTATTTATTTTTGAAAGAGAGACAGAGCATGAGCAGAGGAGGGGCAGAGAGAGAGGGAGTCACAGAATCTGAAGCAGGCTCCAGGCTCCAAGCTGTCAGCACAGAGCCCCAAGCGGGGCTCCATTTCACCAACCGAAAGATTATGACCTGAGCCGAAGTCAGCTACTTAACCCACTGAGCCACCCAGGCGCCCTTAAAATTTTATTTTTAAAAACATTTTCTAATGAAACAAAATTTTTTAAAGAAAAAGCTGGAAGACTGTGTCCCCTGGCTCCTAAAAATATGTGGGGGAAGAGGGCCAAGTATAAGTTCACTGTATTCTCATTGTAAATGGCCTGGTATATATTCTTCAGACCTTTTTCCATCCCATGCGATATATGCAAGCGCAAGCGCTCGCGCGCACACACACACACACACACACCCCTTATTTTTATAACAATGGTAACATGCTCTAGGTATTTCTTTTTATTAACAGCTTTATTGAGCTATAAGTCACATATGATAAAGTTTGTCTTTTTAAAGTATATAGTTCAGTGGATTTTAAGGATATTCAGAATTTTAAAACCTTCACCACCTTCTCATTCCAGGATGTTTTCGTTGCCCCTGCAAGAAACCCCAAGCCGTCAACAGTCACTCCTGCCTCTCCCAGCCCCTGGCAACCACTTAATCTACTTGTGGATTTGCCTGTGACGGACATTTTATGTAAATCATATCATACATTGTGTGGCCTTTTGTGACTGGCTTTTCACTTTAGCATGATGTTCTCAAGACACATGTGTGTTGTAGCAAATATCAGCACTTCGTTTTGTTTCAGTGGCTGAGTGATATTGCCTCATGTGGATATGCCACATTTTGTTTATCCATGTAGCAGTTGGTGGACATTTGGGTTGTGGGTTTTGTTTCGCGAGTTCCTTCTTTTTCTTACCAAGATGTTTCAGAGACTTTGCCACATTGTCAGGAAATCTCACTCCCCTCTGTCCTTTTTAATGGCTTTAGGCTTTATATGATCTCATTCCTTCATACCTGGTGGCTGGGACCTCTCTGTGCATTCCCCCCCCCCCCACTTTCCTCTCTCCAGGGAGTCTGCAGTGCTTGAAGAGGCTATGGTTACCTGAAGAGGCTCAATTTTATAGGGAGAGGAAGAGGTTCACCCAGGATCACAAACTCAGTGTTGTGGGGTCGTCAAAGATCAGTTCCCAGCTGAGGCCACAGCCCCTGCCACTCAGCTTACGATAAGCAGACCCGGAACTGCAAGCCTGACCATCTTTCCCCAGAGCCCCTACCTCACCGCTCACTCCATGCCTGGGTGTCCTTCTGAGCACCCCCTTCCTGGCACCATTTGTGAGAGGGGCTTTGTGGGGGGACCTGTTTTGTGGCATCACCCCACTTCCTACCTTGTCCTCCCTTTTCAAAGAGCCCAGATCAGCCCTTCTCAAATACTGGCTCTTTGCTCTTGGCACCTTGAGTCTGAAATATCAGCCTCTGCCTTCCTGCCTCATTTGCATTTCAAAAGATGCCTTTAGGATTTGATTGGGCTCCAAGATATACTTAAGACCCCAGCTGGAGTTCATTTCCCCGGCTCTCTGGTTTTCTCCTGAGCTGCAGATAGAATCACCTGGGAAGCTATTTAAAAATACTCATGCCTGGGACCTATGGTGGACTGAGTATATCAGAATCTCTGGGACCTTAGCCATCAGTATTTTTTTTAACTTCCCCCAGGTAATTCTGATGTACACGCAGGTTGAGAGCCACTGTGCTGCCTCACTGTGGCCCTCATCAAAGAAGGTACATATTCTCCCTCCAAGTCTGAAACTAGATCAAGAGCTCTGTCGAGATTTAGTCCCAAGTCAGCTATGGATTTGCTGTGGGGCCTCTTTCTCACCCATCAGTGAGATGGGGGCTTGGAGGGCTTGGGTTATGTCAGTGGTTCTCACCCTCAGGTGGCTATGAGAGGTGGGAGCATGGGGGGGAGGGTATGTATTCAAACACCTGGGGGTGTGGCCCCTGGGTGGCTCAGCTGATCAGGTGTCCGACTTAGGGCATGATCTTGCAGTTCTTGAGTTCAAGCCCCATGTCGGGCTCTGCTGACAGCTCAGAGCCTGGAGCCTGCTTCGGGATTCTGTGTCTCCCTGTCTCTCTGCCCCTCCCCTGTTCATGCTCTCACTCTCTCTGCCTCTTAAAAATAAATAAACATTAAAAAAAAATAAAAAAATTCCTGTTTGTTTCACACCTGTTTATTCTCAAAAAATACCTGTTGAACTTGAAAAGTCAAAGGCAACCTAAGTGTGGTTTTGTACCCTTCTAACATAAATCATCCCTCTCATGGGAAGAAGTGGAGTGTTCAGTAGACCCCGCATCTAACTGAGTCGCTTTTTTAAATATCAAGAAACTTTAGTAAAAATTATGGTAACATTTTCTCAAATCCCCCTCTGTAGGGCTTGTACCATTTTGCATTCTTCCCAGCGATAAAGGAGTTTTCCTACTTCTCCATAGCTTCACCAGTAGAATGTGTTGTCCGATGTTTGGATTTTTGTTAATCTGATAGGTGAGAAATGATATCTCATGTAGGATGCGTAGTTGTAATTTACATTTCTCGTCTTGAATAGGGTTGAGCATCTTCCTATGGTTACAAGTCATACCTTTTCTTGTGAACAGGTTTTCACATCTCTAGCACATTTTAATATAGGTTTGTTGGCCTTTTTGTTTTCTGTTTTGTGAAGCTCCTTATGTAGGCAAGATATTTGCCCTTTGTAGTGCAGTAAATTGCAAAATTTTTCCCCAGTTAGTCATTTATACTTTTACTTTTTTAGGGTCTGTCTTTCTTAATTTTTAAATTAATTATTTATTTATTTTACTGCTTATTTTTGAGAGAGACAGAGACGGAGTAGGAACATGAGCAGGGGAGGGGCAGAGAGGGGCAGGGGACAGAGGATCCGAAGCAGGCTCCAGGCTCCGAGCTGTCAGCAGAGTCCGACATGGGGCTCAAAGCCACGAACCGTGAGATCATGACCTGAGCTGAAGTCAGATGCCCAACTGACTGAGCCACTCAGGTGCCCATTCTCTGAACTTTTTAAAGAGAACCTTTATTTATTTATTTTTGTTTATTTCTTTTGAGAGAGAGAGTGCATGAACAGGGGGAGGGTCAGAGAGGAGGGAGACACAGAATCTGAAACAGGCTCCAGGCTCTGAGCTAGCTGTCAGCACACAGCCTGATGCAGGGCTCGAACCCACAAACTGTGAGATCATGACCTGAACCGAAGTCGGACGCTTAACCAACTGAGCCACCCAGGCGCCCCGAGAGTCGGATGCTTAACTGACTGATCCACCCAGGCTCCCCTTTTCTTTTTGTTTATGTTTATTTACTTATTCTTTTTTTTTAAAGTTTATTATTTATTGAGAGAGAGAGAGAGAATCCCAGACTTTGCACTGTCAGTGTGGAGCCCAATGCAGGGCTCAAACTCCTGAACTGCAAGATCATGAACTGAGCTGAAGTCAATTGCTTAACCAACTGAGCCACACAAGTGCCCCTATTTGTTTCTTTCTGAGACATGAACAGACCCGGGGGAGGGTGGGGGGAGCGGAGGCAGAGAGAGAGGAAGAGAGAATCCTAAACAGGTTTGGGTGCTGTCAGCACAGAGCCTGATGTGGGGCTTGATCTCCTGAACTGTGAGTACATGACCTGAGCTGAGATCAAGAGTCAGACACTTAACCCTGGGTGAGTGAGCCACCCAGGTACCCTGGGTGTTGTTTTCCATGTAGAATTTGCTTATCTAATTAAAAGTTATCAATTTCTAAAAACGAAAAAGAAAAGAAAGCTATTAATTTCTTTTCATCTTACCGGTTCTGGATATTTGAATTATGATTGTTACAGTGTAATTTTACATGAAAACTTACACTTAATTGTAAAAATTGTGCAGTCCCTCACCAAAGGACTGCTAGGCCTCCTGGGTAATTGTGATGTTTCATCTATATGCATTTTGTTTGTTAGCATGGAGCTCAGATGGCTATTCAGAGTTGTTCTGAGTCGAGGCAAAGGGCCATGGACCAGTCATTGCAAGTGGGCTCCCTCTAGGGAGGGCACATGACCTTGGAGGAGGTAGCTGCCCTCAGCCAGTGGCATCACTGGGAGGGGACTAAGCGTCGAGGTCTTAGTTGGGGGAACAAGTGCCCCAGCTCTGAGGGGGCCGGGATCTGAGTGGAGCACCATAGCAGCCTCCGCAAGTACCCTGTCTGGCTTGGTCACTGCTGTGTATTTTATGCCTAGCTGCACCTGGCATGTAATAGGTACTCAGGAAGTCTTTGGTGAATGAATGAGGGAAAAAGAATAGAAACCCGGATTTCTGGGTCTTGGCCCAGGCCACCTGGATCATAATGGAGGGGTGGGAGAAAGGGGAAGAACTGGGCAGGCGTGATCAGAGTCATCTCGTCACTTGCTTCAGGCCCGCTGGGTGGTCTTGAGGGCCCCTCTGCCTTGGTGGGTGGTACTGGTGAAGGCCTGGACATGGTTGGGCTGGACTGGGCAGGGCAGGGGGCTATCATGGAACCCTAGGCACCTTGGCTACTCTTTGATGACATCAGCCACATGAACTTTCAGGTTTTTCATTCTTTTTTGTTTTTGTTTTTGTTTTTTTCAATTACTTTCTAGCATTCCTTGAAGAAAAGAGGAACTCGCTCCCTGGGGAAGACAGACAAGAAGCCTTCTGTGCAGGTATTTCCTGGCAGCTCCCTTAGCCCCCCGTCCAGCCCCCATAGGCGGGTTTTTATCTGAAGGTCGAAGGCCCAATTCCAAGTGGTCTGGGGAGTCCCCAGAGGTGCCCATCCTTCCTCAGCCTCTACTCTGCCCTCCTCTTTTTAATTGTCTTAGCTTTGATGCCCACTTCACTTCCGAAAGCCATGCCCCAAGCCCATGATTCTCACATGGGCAGATAGATACAGTGCTATGTGTACCACAGGTCAGATATAGAATACAGTTAGCCTCTAGTGGTCCTGGATTATAAGGGTGCCAGGCACTTTTCATACATTATCTCATTTAATCCTCTCCATGCCTCTGTGTGGAAGGGAGTGTTATTCCCTCATTTTACAGATAAGGAAACTATAGTAGTAATGGTAGTAGTAGAAGTAGCAACCATTGCCTGGCAGGATGTCGCCGACTCCAGGAAGCCTTCCTAGACTCTCCAGGCTGTGTGGTGCTCCATCTTTGCTGCAGTGTTCAAAGTCTCCTTCTCTACTCTCCCTCCGGACGCCTGCTCCTGGAGAGTCAGGGCCTTGTCTGATTCATTCCTGGGACCCTGGCACATAGTTGGTGCTCCCCGAAATGCTGTAGCTGGTACTGAGCCTCGCCCCACTAACCTTCCTGGGTCATGTCTGTCCCCGCGTCCATCGGGCCCCAGGAGGACAGCGCGGACCTGAAGTGCCAGCTGCACTTTGCAAAGGAGGAGTCAGCCCTCATGTGCAAGAAGCTCACCAAGCTGGCCAAGGAGAACGACAGCATGAAAGAGGAGCTGCTCAAATACCGCTCGCTCTACGGCGACCTGGACAGTGCCCTGTCTGCCGAGGAGCTGGCCGACGCGCCCCACTCGCGGGAGACCGAGCTCAAGGTGCACCTGAAGCTGGTGGAGGAGGAAGCCAACCTGCTGAGCCGCCGCATTGTGGAACTGGAGGTGGAAAACCGAGGCCTGCGGGCGGAGATGGATGACATGAAGGACCACGGAGGCGGCTGCGGAGGCTCGGAGGCGCGCCTGGCCTTCTCGGCGCTGGGCGGCAGCGAGTGCGGAGAAAGCCTGGCGGAGCTGCGGCGACACTTGCAGTTTGTGGAGGAGGAGGCGGAGCTGCTCCGGCGCTCCTCCGCCGAGCTGGAGGACCAGAACAAGCTGCTGCTGGCCGAGCTGGCCAAGTACCGCTCAGAGCACGAGCTGGATGTGACGCTGTCGGAGGACAGCTGCTCCGTGCTCAGTGAGCCTTCGCAGGAGGAGCTGGCGGCTGCCAAACTGCAGATCGGCGAGCTCAGCGGCAAGGTCAAGAAGCTGCAGTATGAGAACCGGGTGCTGCTCTCCAACCTCCAGCGCTGTGACCTTGCCTCCTGCCAGAGCACGCGGCCGATGCTGGAGACAGACGCCGAGGCCGGGGACTCTGCCCAATGTGTGCCCGCCGCTCTTGGCGAGGCCCACAGTCCTCACACTGCCCGACTCTGCAGAGCCAGGGAGGCCGAGGCGCTGCCCGGGCTGAGGGAGCAGGCCGCCCTGGTCAGCAAGGCCATCGATGTCCTGGTGGCCGATGCCAATGGCTTCTCGGCTGGCCTCCGCCTGTACCTGGACAACGAGTGCGCTGACTTTCGGCTGCATGAGGCCCCCGACAACAGCGAGGGTCCCAGGGACATGAAGCTCATCCACGCCATCCTGGTGCGGCTGACCATGCTCCAGCAGGAACTCAATGCCTTCACCCGGAAGGCGGACACCGTCCTCGGGAGCTCTGCTAAGGAGCAGCCGGAGCCCTTCTCGTCGCTGCCTGCCCTGGGCTCCCAGGGGCCCTCCAAGGAGATTCTTTTGGCCAAAGACCTTGGCTCAGACTTCCAGGTAAGATGTGCCAGTCATAGCCCTATTACTTTTTTTGTTAGAAACTTACTACTGAATCATACGTAGGACAGAGAGGCACATAAGGCACAAGTGTACAGCTTAGTGAATTTCCCCCAAATGAGCACACTTGAGTAATCATCACCCAGAACAAGAACTAGAATGTGACCAGCACCCCAGAAGCCCCTCCTCACATCCCCTTCCAGCCACTATCCCTGCTCCCAAGGGTGACCCCTCTCCTGATTTCACTTGGTCTGTCTTTGCACTTTATATAAAGTGGATCATATAACACATACTCCTTTATGCCTGGCTTCTTTCACTCACTGTTTTGTTTCTTGTCTCATGTAGTCATAATTTGTTCATTCTCATTACTGGACACGATCTCATTGAGTGAGTATGCCCCAATTCACTTAGTCATTTACCACTGATAGATACAGGGGTTGGTTTTGAGGCTCCCTCCTTCTTTGTTTTGCCAGGTTGCCCTTTGTTCTTGTCTTGTTTCTTTTGCAATTTTGATTTTCAAACATGTATTATTAAAAAAACAAACCAACTGGGGTGCCTGAGTGGCTTAGTTGATTAAGCGTCCGACTTTGGCTCAGGTCATGATCTCACGGTTCGTGGGTTCAAGCCCCGCGTCAGTCTCTGTGCTGACAGCTAGTTCAGAGCCGGGAGCCTGCTTCAGATTCTGTGTCTCCCTCTCTCTCTGACCCTCCCCTGCTCACGCTGTCTCTGTCTCTCAGAAATGCATAAAACATTAAAAAAATTTTTTAAATTAAAAAATAAAAAAAACTATAAAAAAAGAAGACATAGAAGCTCCTGTCAGGTCTTATGCAAAGGTAAGAAATGTGGCTTTCTAAAGGTAATGAACTTCTAGCCTTAATGTGTATAAAAGGCTACTTAGAAAAAATCAAAATAGTAGATGCACTTGTCTCAAAAAGAAAACAACAACATTAAAAAATTTTTTAAAAAGTATCATTGCAAAAGTAGTCCATAAGCATTCAAGGAGTTTTAGAAGTGCCTGGTAAAAAGGGAAAAGCCTCTCCTTTCTGCTTCTTACTGCCTATAGGTACCACTATCAATAGTCTGGAGCAGTGCTATCCCAGTGCTGAGGACAGAGGCCACTAGCCACATATGGCTCCTTAAATTTAAATTAATAAAAATTTCATTCAGTTGAAAATTCATGTCTTTGGTCTCCGTAGCCCCATGTCAAGTGCTCGGTAGTTATGTATGTCACGTGGTGCAGACTTAGACCATTTCATCATCAAGGCACGCCCTTTTAAATCTTTCTCTGTGCTTTCTCTCATACATTTGCTTTTTCACCCAAATTGTCTTATGTGATACCTACTGTGACCACACAATTGATTTTTCTTATGTAATGTATCTAGTGGTTCATGTACTTATGATGCTGTGTTTATTGTTCATATACTTTTTGGGATCAGTGATCAGAACCGGAGGTGCCCTGATAAGCAAAAACAGACATGATTCCTGCCCCCCAACTTCTGTCATCTAGTGGGGAAGAAAGATTTAATCAAAATATCCTGTCAGTGAATGTGACCTAGACTCTGGGGCAGGGAAGACCTCTAATCTGAGCTGAGATTAGAAAGATAGATTATTGGGGAAGAGTGTTCTTTTTTTTTTCTTTAAAAAAAATTTTTTTTTAATGTTTTATTTATTTCTGAGAGAGAGAGAGAGAGAGAGACAGCATGAGCAGGAGAGGGTCAGAGAGAGAGGGAGACACAGAATCTGAAACAGGCTCCAGGCTCTCCAGGCTCTGAGCTCGCTGTCAGCACAGAGCCTGACACGGGGCTCTAACCCACAAACCGTGAGATCATGACTTGAGCCGAAGTCGGACGCTTAACTGACTGAGCGACCCAGGTGCCCTTCTTATGCACAAACCTTCTGAGCCAGCCCCAACTGAGCCAGTGTCCAACTTTGGCTCAGGTCATGATCTCACGGTTTGTGAGTTCAGCATCGGGCTCTGTGCTGACAGCTCAGAGCCTGGAGCCTGCTTCGGATTCTGTGTCTCCCTCCCTCTCTGCCCCTCCCTTGCTCATGCTCTGTTTCTCTCTCTCAAAAATAAATAAACATTAAAAAATTATTAAAAGAAAAAAAAAGAGGGTTGCCTGGGTGGCTCAGTCGGTTAAGCATCCAACTTTAGCTCAGGTCATGATCTCACGGTTCGAGCCCCGTGTTGGGCTCTGTGCTGACAGCTCAGAGCCTGGAGCCTGCTTCCGATTCTGTGTTTCCCTCTGTCTTTGACCCTCCCCTACTCACGCTGCCTCTCTCTCTCAGAAATACATAAAACATTAAAAAAAATTAAAAAAAAGAAAATTTGTGCACAAGACAGACATTCACAGTATCAGTGCGCTCACCACTTAGCTCCTCATTCATCCTTTCGACAGAGACTCACTGAGTAGTTGCAGGGCTGGGTCTGGGCTGCAGAGCTGAATCCACTGGGGCCCCAGCCCTCAGGTGGGCAGTCAGAGTCTCTTATTAGAGCCCAGGGGCCTGGAGTGGGGGCTGCTTCTGGCACCCCTCGGGCCCCTCCCCATTGTTTCCTCTGGTCTCTTCTGCCTGTGCCTCTGGGTGCAGCCGCCTGACTTCAGGGACCCGCCAGAGTGGGAGCCCAGGATGCGAGAGCCCTTCCGCAGTGGTGACTTGGACTCCAAGCCCGACCCCAGCCGGAGCTTCAGGCCTTATCGAGCTGAAGACAATGAATCCTACGCCTCTGAGGTGGGCCTAGGCCTGATCAAGCAAGGGGGAGGGCAGGAGGAGAGTGGCCGGGGCCTCCCCAAAGCTGGGCAGTCTGTGGAGAAGCTTAGCTGGTGATCATGTGGATTTTGAGTATTCCATTTGGTTCTAAGCTTCCAGGCAGCAGGTGCAAAAAGGGAGATGAGGAAGTTTGGGCCATTCTCTTGACCTGACAAAAGAAAGCCTATAAACCCCTTTGAAGAAATTGATTTTGTTTTCCTATACTAAATTTCACTGGGAATTTAATAACTTATGCCATTTAGTGAAACCACTAATTTCTTTAGCAGGAAGGCAGCCATCTTTACAGTCAGGTTGACTGGGTTTAAATTGTGGATCTGCTGCTATACACTGGCTGTGAGATTGTAGACCAGTCATTTTAGCTCTCTGACCCTCAGCTTTTTTATCTTCAAAATAAAGGTGCTGAAAAGATTAAATACATGAAAAGACTTAAATCTGGTCCCTACTGGGTGAGAATAAGGAGGAGGAGGATGACACATCTCAGGGCCTCAGGGGACCCACCAGTGTGGCTTTGTGGCCTTGGGCATGTTCCCATTCTCTGGCTGTATGTTCCCCTTTGTAACATGGAGGATTAGAGTGGGTGGTGGCTGTAGAATTTCTAGAATTCCCTGGTACTTGAGGAATTCCTGGTGGTTCTGAGCCCCTCTCCAGCCTGCTGAGTCTTTCCCAGCACTTCATAATGAACTGGAAGCAAGAAGAGTCTTCTGTGCATGGAATGGAGCCTCCTTGAGACTGCTGAGCTGTGGAGACCTCTGTGTGCTCCCCAACCTAAGAGCCCTTTTCTTCCGAACACTCTTAGGAAGGCAGTTTTATAGTCCCAGTAAGGCCAGTCTGCAAGTGCCCAGCGGGAGAAGCTCCCTTGAAGCTGATGGATCAAACACTCTATGTGGTCTGAGCTCCTAGCAGCCATGGCAAAAAGGGAAAAAACAAAACAAGACATGAGACACCAAGTTTTCATTTTCTGAGAAAAAGAGATAAGCTGAGTCACCTCCATGCATTCGATTATTGTTTCATTCAACCACTCTTTACTGAGCAGTTACAGTACTGGATACAATAGTATCCAGCCCTGCAAGAATCTTTAAGGTCAACTAGGCATACAAGGTATACCTTGAGTCAGAGTGCCTTCCATTGCCAGATGCCCATACTATTGGCCAGACAATAAATGTTATTTACAGAGGGACATCTTGCCATGCTTGGGATGGTTTTATGTAGGAGTGACAGATGACATTACTTTTTTTTTCCTGCTTAACATGACAGCATAACATTTCCCTCTGTTATGAGAAATACTTAAAAATTCTTTAGGGGCGCTTGGGTGGCTCAGTTGGTTAAGCGTCCAACTTCGGCTCAGGTCATGATCTTACGGTTTGTGGGTTCGAGCTCTGTGTGGGGCTCCGTGCTGACAGCTCAGAGCCTGGAGCCTGCTTCAGAGTCTGTGTCTCCGTCTTTATGCCCCTCCCCCATTTGCTGTCTCTCTCTCTCTCTCTTTCAAAAATAAACATTAAAAAAATTTAAATTGAAGTATAACATACATACAGAAAAGTACATTTAAGTGGATAGCTCAAATAACTTTCACAAACTGAACACTTCTCTGTCATCAGGAAGCAGATTAATAAGCAGAGCATGACTTGTCCCTGAAACCTTCCTTCTGTCCCCATCTAGTCCCCATCCTGACTTCTAACAGAATAGATTAGTTTTGCCTGTTTAGCTACAAATACTTGTAAACACAATTTCCCCTCAAAATGTAGAGTTTTACTGTCTTTTTCCCAAGATTTTATTACATAGTCACTAGCAGCAATGAATAACTACAGCAAAATCCCTAAGCAGCATTGCAGAAAGGCTTAAAGTCGGGATCCCAAAATTGTCACTTAGTTAACCGCTGTTCACATTGAGTGTGTGTCCATGTCCTTCCTGTTTTTCTGTGGAGATATAGATCTTTTTTACTTTTTATTGAAGTATAACATACCAGTGTACCTACAATAAAGGACACTATCCTTACGTGTACAGTTGATTGGACTTTTATATATGTATAGACCTATTAACCATGCATGTTAATTCCTTTATCCGAGTTGTTTTTAAATTTTTGCAATTATAGGGGCGCCTGGGTGGCTTAGTTGGTTAAGCGTCCGACTTTCACTTAGGTCATGATCTCACGGTTCGTGGGTTCAAGCCCCGCGTCAGGCTCTGTGCTGACTGCCAGCTCAGAGCCTGGAACCTGTTTCAGTCTGTGACTCCCTCTCTCTCTGACCCTCCCCTGCTCACACTGTCTCTCTCTCTGTCTCTCTCCTAGAAATTAAAAAAAAAATGTTTAAATTTTTGCAATTATAAATAGTGAGACAGCAAACATCTTTGTGAATCAGACTCAACTTTCTCAGTATGTTATTTTCCTCAACTGCATTTTGAAGAGAGAAATGATCAAGGTGAAATTCTGATAAAGGTAGATTTGATGTGCACTGTTTTGTTTGATCTTTATGACAATCCCCTGAAGTAGGGACAGACGTTGTGCCTGATTTGTGCTCAAAGGACAGCTTGGGTCCCGCTTAACTCTTGTTCTCTGACTGCAGCTTCTATCCCCTTCCTGCTCTCTCCCTCTGTCTGTGTCCCGCATCCCTACCCCAGATCAGGGAGCTGCAGCTGGTGCTGGCTGAGGCCCATGACAGCCTCCGGGGCCTGCAAGAGCAGCTTTCCCAGGAGCGGCAGCTACGGAAGGAGGAGGCCGACAACTTCAACCAGAAAGTGGTCCAGGTGGGTGGTGCCCAATGCCCCCGGCCCCTGCACCAACTCCTCCTCTCTTCCCTGAACTGAAGGCAGAAACCTAAGGCCTCCAAGGGGCTTCAGAAGGCAAGGGTCCTGGGGAAACCTGAGTCTTCCAGCCCTCGCTGTACTTCATTGTGCCAGACTGGGCTGGAATCCTGGGCTTGTCATTGGTGGCTTATGTGACCTCAGGCCAATCCTTTCTCCTCTCTGGGCCTCAGTTTCCCAACTATGAAATACTGCCTCCAGCAGAGCTGAAAACCTGTAGCAGAAAGGCCATAGGTCTGGCTGGTAATTAAGGCAGATTGTCTTGCTAATAGAAAGCATGTATTAAGCCCTTACTGTATATCAGGTCCATGCAGTGCTCTTTTCACACATTATGTTCTTTAATCCTTAAGGTTTCCCCTATGAGGTGTCCCCATTTTATAGACGAGGGACTGATGCCCAGGGAGCTGAAGCACATTCCCCAGGGTGAAATTCTAATCCAGGTCTCTGCCCTCTCTTCGTCATGACCTTGCATGCCTTCCTAGGAATCGCATATTCTCACTCCTGGCATGCCCTTTGTTCCACATGGGTCACCTCTTCCTTCCATCATGGCTCACCTGCACGGGTTCCTTACTAAATGTGAGCGTCCCCGTGAAACTTTAGCAGCCACTATGCGTTCATTATGTGATGTCATGGTTTTATAGTGAGAAAGAGCCGGGTTCACCTCTCTTGCTTCTCACTGATCCCTAATGGTGATTGTTAGGGATTGCTGCTTTTATCAGTTTCTCTTCACTGGGGTTTATCTTAACAGAATGAACTGATAGTGGTGGAGCCCCTGGCAGGGATCACCAACAGGCACCTCCCAAAGTGTGCTCTCTGTCTTTATCTGAGGCCTGGAATGGGATGGCGTAGGGCTGGGAAGACAGCTGCAGGGCGCTCATGCTCTCGTTCCTCTCCCAGCTGAAGGAGGACCAGCAGAGGGCGCTCCTGAGGCGGGAGTTTGAGCTGCAGAGTCTGAGCCTCCAGCGGAGACTGGAGCAGAAATTCTGGAGCCAGGAGAAGAACATGCTGGTGCAAGAGTCCCAGCAATTCAAGCACAACTTTCTGCTGCTCTTCATGAAGCTCAGATGGTTCCTCAAGCGTTGGCGGCAGGGCAAGATTTTGCCCAGTGAGGGGGATGACTTCCTTGAGGTATGGATGGTTCCCCTGGGACTGAGACTTGGGGGCGGGGTGGGCGGGGGTAGGCCGGGGGAGATATGACTAGAGGGACTCCCAGCTGGTGCTGGCACAGCCCTGAGGCTCATCTGCAAGCCATCAGCCTGCAGGCTTCCATCCCTGCATTCGTTCACTCACTCAGTGTCTGCTCTTGAGAACCAACTCTATACTGGGCTCTGTGGCAGGTGCTGGGGATACCGTGGTGAAGACACACTTGGTCCTGCCTCACCAGGAGAAAGTCTCTTTGGGGGCTGGTAGATCTTTAACACCTCTCTAATACTTGTCAATTTCCCTTTTTAACAAACCTCAGAATCTTTGTTGATTTTTTTACATGTTTATTTATTTAGAGAGAGAGAGAGAACACGAGCAGGGGAGGGGTTGAGAGAGAGAGAATCCCAAGCAGGCTCTACCCTGTTAGCACAGAACCCAACACGGGGCTCAATCCCACAACTGTGAGATCATGACCTGAGTCAAAATCAAGAGTCGGATGCTCAACTGACAGAGCCACCCAGGTGCCCCAGCAAACCTCACAGTCTTGAGCAAGCAGCAGGATCTAGGTAAACTTAATAATCAAGTTTTGTTACTATTATATGCAAATATAGTATCTATTGCACATATTGTATGTATCGCACACATCTTAAGTGACAGCTGATGAAGTTTTGTGGTGTACATCTGTATAGTCCCTACCCAGATCACAACGGAGCACATTTCCCGTTCCCAAAAGGCTCCCTCCTGTTCCAGAACTCTTTTCATTTGGCACAACTGAAATTCTGTACCTATCAGACAATAATTCCCTAGAAGCCCCTCCCCTGGTCCCTGGCAGCCACCTTTCTACTTTCTGCCCCTGTGATTTTGTCTACTAAGTACCTCATGCAAGAGGAATCATAACAGTCCCTGTCTTTTTGTGGCTGGCTTAGTTCACTGAGCGTAACATCCTCAAGGTTCATCCATGTTGTAGCACATTGCAGAATGTCCTTTCTTTTTAAGGCTGAATCGTATTCCATTGTATATATGTACAAACCACATTCTTTTTTTTTTTTTTTTTACAAATAGTTTATTGTCAAATTGGTTTCCACATAACACCCAGTGCTCATCCCCACAAGTGCCCACCTCCATGCCCTTCCCCCCCCCCACATCCATCAGTCCTCAGTTTTTGTCAGCATTCAAGAGCCTCTCATGGTGTACAAACCACATTCTGTTCAACTTTATTAAGGTGCAATGACACATAGAAATTGTACATATATGAGGTGTACAACTTAATGTTTTGATATATGTATACATCATGATATGATCACTTCACTCAAGTTAACTAACATGCCCGTATCCTTTACATAGGTACACTTTCTTTCATTACTTCCTTCTTTCTTTTTTTTTTTATGGTGAGAATACTTAAATCTACTCCCTTAGCAGATTACAAGTATACAATACAGTTTCATTAACTGTAGGCACCATGCTGTACACAGATCTCCAGAGCTTACTCATCCTGCATTACTGAAACTTTGTCCCTTTTTAAAAAAATGTTTATTTTTGAGAGAGACAGAGAGATATAGAGTATGCGCAGGGGAGGGGCAGAGAGAGAGGGAGACACAGAATCCAAAGCAGGCTCCAGGCTCTGAGCTGTCAGCACAGAGCCCAATGCAGGGCTAGAACCCACAAACCGTGAGATCGTGACCTGAGCTGAAGTCAGGTGCTCAACCGACTAAGCAACCCAGGCACCCCTGAAACTTTGTATCTTTTGACCAACACCTCCCCATCCATCCACTTCCCTGCCCTTGGCAACTACTATTCTGCTCGCTGCTTGTAGAAGTTTGGCTTTTCTTTCATTCCACATTTAAGTGAGATCTTGCAGTATTTATCTTTTTGTATCTGGCTTATTTCACTTAGCATGATGTCTACTAGATCCATCCATGTTGTCAAAAATGGCAGAATTTTCTTCTCTTTTATGGCTGAATAATATTCTGTTGTATGCATTTGTATATATATACACACACATACATGTTTTCTTTATCCATTCATCTGTGAACACTCATGTTGTTTCTGTATCTTGGCTATTGTGAATAATGATGCAAAGAACGTGAGAGTACAGATGTCTCTTTGAGATCTGATTTCATTTTCTTTGGATATGTACCCAGAAATGGGATTACTGGTTCATATGGTAGTTCTATTTTTAATATTTTTAAGAACCACTATGTTGACTTTGTTTTAAATGTTTATTTTTGAGAGAGAGAGAGAGAGAGAGCACAAGCAGGGGAGGGGCAGAGTGTGAGGGAGACACGGAATCAGAAGCAGGTTCCAAAGGGGGAGAAGAAGGGCGGAAATGGTGGGGGAAAGGGAGAGAGGCAAACCATGAGAGACTCTTGAATGCTGACAAAAACTGAGGACTGATGGATGTGGGGGGGAGGGGGGGATGGGCATGGAGGAGGGCACTTGTGGGGATGAGCACTGAGTGTTATGGGGAAACTAATTTGACAATAAACTAGTTGTAAAAAAAAAAAAAAAAAAAAAGAAGCAGGTTCCAGACTTTGAGCTGTCAGCACAGAGCCTGGTATGGGGCTCGAACTCATGAACTGTGAGATCATGACCTGAGCTGTGGTCAGACGCTTAACTGACTGAGCCACCCAGGTGCCCCCATATTGACTTATTTTTAACCACCATATTGATTTTACCTGAAGCCCAGTTTTGGCTGCTGAAATGGATGCTCCTCCATACACTCCAAAGTGAATTGGAAGCCACATAGCCTATATTTTATGTCAATTTGTCTCAGGCAGATCCTCTGTATTTGGTAAAAATCTTTCTAGCCATTTCCATTTGCTAGAGTAACAAAAAGAAACAGAAACTTACTTTAGAAAAAAAAAATGTGGGGCACCTGGTGGCTCAGTCAGTTAAGTGTCCAACTCTTAATTTTGGCTCAGGTTACAGTCTCACAATTCATGAGATTGAGCCCTGACATCAGGCTCTGTATTGATAGTACAGAGCCTGCTTGGGATTCTCTCTCTCTCTGCTGCTCCCCCTGCTTGCGCGTGCACTCTCTCTCTCTCTCTCTTAAATAAATAAACATTAAAAAATAAAAAGAAATAAAATTTTTAAAAATAAGGTAAGCATAGAAAATTAAATAATATGTATACCTATAATTAATAGAAATATATACATTTACTGAAATAGACATAATTAATAAGATATAAACATAACTAGGGGAGCCTGGGTGGCTCAGTTGGTTGAGCGTCCAACTTTGGCTTAGGTCATGGTCTCGTGGCTTGTGAGTTCAAATACCATGTCTGGCTCTGTGCTGATAGCGTGGAGCCTGGAGCCGGCTTCAAGTTCTGTGTCTTGCTCTCTCTCTGACCCTCCCCCACTCACACTCTGTCTCTGTCTCTGTCCCTGTCTCTCTCTCTTTCTCAAAAATATTAAAAAGAATTGTAAAAAGATGTAAACATAACTACATACATTATAGAAATAGTTATATACACATGTGTAAATAGTATATGAAGCACATGTGTAGAAATATGTATAAACAAATACATAACTATATAAATAATAAACTTGATATATATTCATACCCTCAAAGAATATATATGTCCACACATGCAGAGTTATACATGTGAATGATAAAAACCCACAGGTAGTGAGTATGGTGTTCTGAGTACTGTGTTAAGTACTTTAGGTGGATTATTGCATTTCATCTTTACAAATACACTATGATATGGAGATAATTATTATTGCCATTCTACTGCAGATAAAGATCAATGATTCTTTGTCTCAGTTCTGAAATCCAGGAGCTCTGAGAGCTGTGTTTTATTGTACCTAACTCAGTGGGAAAAGATGAGCCTCACGTTCACTTGGCAGCAAAACCTTTGTTTATCCAATTTCATGTTAATTTCCATATGTTTGTAGGGGAAACATCAGTGTGCTTGAGCATAGAGTGTTAAACCTGACCCCCCTGGGGCAGTGTAGGCACCACATTCTCTTTCTAAATCCCCTTTCATTCTGAATTCCAAGCACACCCGGCCCCAAGGATTTTTGAGAAAGACTTGTGCACCTGTGTATACAGACAACCGAAGTCTGTATGTTTAGATGCTCGTGACCAGGGACAGAATTAGGGTGCTTATTCAGGCAGGCCCTGCTCCCCCTCACATGCTTGCAAGCCTCAGTGCCTGTCCTGACACCAGAAACCCTTCTTCATTTGGTTTCTAGGACATCACACTCTTCTTGGGTTTCCTTCCACCTCACTCACTGGTTGCTCCTCCACGTCCTTGGCTGGCCCCTCCTTTTCTCCCTGACCTCTCTTAATGTCAGAGTCGCCAAGGCTCAGTGTTTGGGTCACATCTCTCCCTTACCTACACTTAGTCCCTTGGGGAGCTTAACCAGGCACATGGCTTAAATGGCCTTTCTTGCACATTGTGCATCTATCCAGAATCTATTTATTTAGAGTCTGACGCAGCCACTCTGCCCTCCCTCCCAGCTGAGCCACCATCACTTCTTGCCTGGAGTATCACTACAGCCTCCTACCTGGTCTCCCTGCTTCTGCCCTAGCACCCTTCCATCAAGCGTCTTGCATTTAGAAGGGTATGAGCATCTTGCACTCAAGTGGCATACATTCCATGTGGATGGCATCCCCTGGAGTTTTGTGATATGGGGTTCTGTTGCTACCCAGTAAGGTATCTTAGCAGCTGCAGTGATCGCATGAAACTGAAAGTCAGGTCGGCATCACTGCTCAGCTCACGGTCCTCCCCTGGCTCCCATTTTACCCAGAACAGAGGCCCAAGTCCCTACAAGTCCCTGGCCTGGTCAACCAGCCTTGTTCCCTGTACCTCTCTCACTTCCTCCCTGTACTTCTCTCACTTCCTCCCTGTCTCTCTTGCTTCCCTCAAACAAATGTGTTCCCACCTCAGGGCCTTTGCGTTTGCTGTGCCCTTTCCCTGGAATTCCCAACCTGCAGGTGTTCGCATGGCTTATTCTCTTACCTCCTTCAGGACGTTGCCCCAACACCCACATCTCTCTAAGGCCCTCCCTGATCACCCACACACACCACATCCCAAATCCTTTGGCGTGCTCTTTTTTCTCCATGCCACATCTCTATGTGACATTCCAAATATCTAATGACATTTCATACATTTCAGTTATTTGTTTTATTTCCTGCTACTGGAATGGAAGGGTTTTTGTCTGGCTTGCTCACTGATATATTCCCAGCTCTGAACAAAGGGCCCGGAGCATGATAGGTATTCAGTAAATGTTTGTTGACTCAATAAATGAATAAATGAATGAATGATGGATGAGCACCCCAGTCAGAAGCTGGCTTCCTTCTGCTTCATTCCCATCCTGAACCTAGTACCCTGGTCTCCGCAGCAAACCAGGATGGCTCCCTCTGTCCACCCAAACCTTTGGTTGCCTTTATCTATAATTATGGGAGTGCCCGTAGTCTTTTTTTTGTGCCCACAGGGCCTATCTTGACCCAGCTGGCAAGATGGTTAATTCTGAGTGGCTCTCAGGGATGCCTCATGGCCTTGAGCTGGAAGAGGTGTGGGGTGTGGGGTGGGGGGTGGGGGGGGCAGGGTGGCCACAACAGTCTGCCTTTCCAACTGTGTGCTCTTAGTTCTGGATGGTGCACAAGAGCCAGTTAAAATTTGGGAAATCAGTGTTGAATTAGAGTGATTCATCCTGAACCATAACCCCCCCCCCCATTCTTTCTTTCTGCCTGACTGTAATACCCTTTCTATCCAGGCCACTAGGCTGAATCCCTTCCCCTGACGGTGAGACTCCCAAGCATGATACCCTTCTACCCTCTGTTGAATGTAGGTAAATAGCATGAAGGAGCTATATCTGCTAATGGAGGAAGAGGAAATCAATGCCCAGCATTCAGATAACAAGACCTGTACAGGGGACAGCTGGACCCAAAACACGGTGCGTTCCCAGCCTGTTCCCAGTCCTTTCCTGCCCATGGCTCCTCTGTTTAGCGATCACTTCCTGCCACCTTCTCTGACCTGTCTTGCATGGGGTACTAAAGTGGCAGAGGGTTATTGTCTGGTTACTGGCCCCAGATACTTAGTGCTACAGGGTTCATAAGTCATCCAGGGCAGTGACAGATGAGGGACTGTGTGGTCACATGTAAGAGAGCAGTTAATTCTGTCTGGATCACAGAGAAGGGGTAATAGGTGGTAGGTTTTGAAGGATGAATGGGAGCTTGCATAATAGAGAGTAGGGAAAAGGCCCTTTTGGACCAAGAGAATTATATGTGCAGAGGTGTGGCAGGGTATTCTGGGATTGCCTGAGGCTCAGGATGTACAGAGTGGGGACAAGGACATCAATTTGAGGGTCATATGAAGAGAGGCCTTGTGGTCTGGAGTCAGGAACCATCAGATCAAGCTATGAGGCAGACAGAACAATGGGGTCAGTCTCCCAGGGTCATACACAGAGAGCTTGGGTAGGTGGGAAAGCGGTCATTGGCCAAAGAGAGAAGATTGGGACTGAGTCAGGCAGTCAGGGAGGTTTCGTAGTTCAGATTTCCCATCTGACCTATGATAGGTTAGAGAAGCAGATCTTGGGCACAGAGAGAGGCTCAGGGCCTAGACTCTACAGAAGCTCAAAGAAGCCAGCGCCCACCTCACATTTAGGCTGAATAATAATTGCTATAACCTCAGGGTTTTTTGTTTATGAGAGGCTGGGGAACATGTCAGGCCATGGCGGGGCTTGGCTGGGCTTGTCATGCCCATTTTATGGGTGAGATGACCTGGGGAGGTCATGGGGTTTGCTGGAGACTGGGGAGAGACCTGGGCTGGGCTTTGGATGAGTGCTCCCAGCCCAGGCTCCCCTTCCCATGCCTTCAGAGCTCCTGACCCAGGCCTTGCCCCCATCTGCAGCCCAATGAGTACATCAAGACACTGGCTGACATGAAGGTGACGCTGAAGGAGCTGTGCTGGCTGCTTCGGGATGAACGCCGTGGTCTGACTGAACTTCAGCAACAGTTTGCCAAGGCCAAGGCCACCTGGGAGACAGAGCGGGCAGAGTTGAAGAGCCATACTGCCCAGGTGAGTCCCCCACCTGTCAGAGACATTTCCCTCTTTGTTCCTCCCTCATCTAAACTCTCTCAGTTGTCCTGTCTGGGAGCACAGGGACCCCTTTACCTCCTCTTGTGGCCCAGGGATGGCAAGAGATTTACATGGAATCATACAGCAAGGGTACCAGAAACGCTGGAGCCTGGGAGTCACTGGGCCAGGGAAGGAACGTGAAGGACTGACACAGGGGACACCATAGGCACCTCTGTTGCATCATGGGTTCACACGTGAGGCCAGATGCTTAAATACCTGTCTGCACCTGGTGACAGCCTTCACACACATGGCCGGACTTCTCCCTGCTGTCTTCATTCATCCCTCCTCTCCTCATAAGGATCCCCTTAGTCCCTTTCTACCTGGCTTTGTTTTGCTTCCACCCCATGACCGAATGTGACCAAAGGAGCCTTAACCAGGAGCCCTGGAGCTCCGGTCTCTGCTGTGTGCCTGGAGGCAAGCTGCTGCCTTACTCTGGTCTGAAAAGTGAAGGGGAGGGGGTTCCTCCCACTCAGAGAGATTGTTATCACCACCACCATCACCCCACCTGCCATGACTCTTCAGGTCCCAGCTTCCCCAAGCCTGTCTCTACCGCAGGCTGCCTTCCTGGCATCATGGGCCCCTTGGGGGTGTGTACACTGACGATCTCTGCTGGACACGTAGCAAAACAAGCACAGAGGGGTTAAATTTCTTTCCCAAGGTCACCCAGCAGATAAGCAGCAGACCTGACCTTTACTCCCCAATCTTCTGTTCTTCCTGCCTTCTCATTACCGCGATCCCAACGTTCTTCCCAAGGCTCACAGACTCCTGGCTTCCCAGTGCCACCCTTCTTTCCTCCTAAGCCTCCTGGCAGAGCTCACAGCTCCTGCCCCGTCTGCACATTTCACTGTTCTGCTGACCCCCCACAACACAGCCATTCCAGGTGCCCTTGCCCACTGGGAAGCGGGCCAGTTCCTATGGGGGTTAACATATGAGACCACAGCCTGGGGGACTTGGGGTGCACTGATGCTCAGGGCTGCATATTTACCTCCTGCCACCCCAAAGGCTTGGTGCTGCGAAAGCCATCACACTGGGCTGATTGCTGCACACGTTCCATTTTGTAATCCTGGGTGCATGTCCCGCACTAACCATCAGCCCAGACCAGTTGTGAGAGTTGATGAAATATGAGAAGCAATAACTAGGAACCTCTGCCGTTTTGTAGCTCTGTGACCTGGGCCAAAGAACCTCTCTCTCCTCTCTATAATATCAGAAAAGGCATTTGTCTTGTTGCGATTCCATGAGGACACTGAGACAGCACTTGGGAACGAGCTCTGCGCAAGCCTCGATTGTGAGGAGGGCTTAGTTCTGAGTAGGTGGTCAGCAGGCGAGGGGCCTTCAGGGCGGAGAGGAAGGGCCTCCTGGTGCCAGACACCCAGTTTGCTCTTCCTTGTGCCACAGATGGAGCTGAAGGCCGGCAAGGGGGCTGGGGAGCGGGCGGGGCCCGACTGGAAGGCCGCCCTGCAGAGGGAGCGCGAAGAGCAACAGCACCTGCTGGCTGAGTCCTACGGTGCTGTCATGGAGCTGACGAGGCAGCTGCAGATCAGCGAGCGCAACTGGAGCCAGGAGAAGCTGCAGCTGGTGGAGCGGCTTCAGGGTGAGAAGCAGCAGGTGGAGCAGCAGGTAAAGGAGCTGCAGAACCGCCTGAGCCAGGTGAGGCCTGTCCCAGCCCGAGCTGGCTCCAGACACAGCGGGGACTAACTGTAGGAAAAGTCTGGGGCTAGGGTCTCCTGCAGTTATAGCTGGATCCAGGGGCTCAGAGAAGGCAGCAGGCACTAGGTCCGTCCATCTCAGGCTTGCTTTCCTCTGTGCTTTAGTCCTAAGCAAGCGGTTGTCAAATGTGACTATTGTTAGTTGTGTGCTCATATCTTTACAGCTTACCACTGGCAGTAGAGTTTTCCTTTTCCATAAGGCTGATTGGCCAGTCGTAAGTCGTGTGCCTACCCCTAGAGCCTACCAAAACCTGAGAATCTGAGAAAGTTAGAGTCCTCTGACCAAAAGATGGGAAGAGGGGTGGGAAAAACCATCATTGGCCATTATGCCCCAGTACAGTTCACATCATGGACCCAGCTCCCACCCACCAAGCTGCTATGTACCACTCTTTAGACTTTTTCCTTTGTTTTATTTTACTTACATAAATCAGGACTTCATCTTTTTTTTTTTTAATGTTTATTTATTTTGGAGAGAGAGAGACAGAGTGTGAGCAGGGGAGGGGTAGGAAGAGAGGGAGACAGACTATGAAGCAGGCTCTAGACTCTAAGCTGTCAGCACAGAGCCTGAAGTGGGGCTTGAACCCATGAACCATGAGATCATGACCTGAGCCAAAGTCTGGCACTCAACTGACTGAGCCACCCAGATGCCCCAGGATTTCACCTTTATATAAGACCCAAATAAAAAATAAATAAATAAAAATAAGATTCAAATATTGCAAAATCATACTCCAACCCACTTCTTCCCTTTCTTGCTACTTAGATTTATATTCATGGAGATCTTTTAAAAAAATCTTTATTTATGTATTTAAAATGTCTATTTATTTATTTTGAGAATGGGGGAGGGGAAAGAGAGAGAGAGAGAAAGAGAAGCCCAAGCAGGCTCCATGCTGACAGTGGTGGGGGGGGGCCTCGATCCCATGAACAAGGTCTTTTTTTTTTGAATCAACAATGGAATCATAAGATACATATGTTTATGTTTGTTTGCCTCATTCATAAAGAGCTGTTCACAACAGAGTGTAGAGATCGGTCCCCTTCCATCTAACTGCTGTTTAGCATTTCCATTGTGGAGCCCCCACTCTTATGTCACCCAGCTGGTGCTTAGCTGACCTAGCTGGTCCAGGAATTGCAGCATGAATTAGCCTAGCGGTGACAGCGGCTACTCTGAGGATGCCTGTAAGTGGCTGCTCTTGTGGCCATTTTCTAAATCTGTCTTTTGGTGGCTCAGAGCCGCTGCCCACTGGGAAGGTGTCTCCTAGCCCATCACTGGGTCCTCCGGGCTACAAGCAGAGCATGCAGGGTAGCCTACACAGAGCTAGGGCCCGCTCACCACCTTTGCCCACCACTGACCGCTCTCTTTACCCTCGCCCAGCTGCAGAAGGCTGCTGACCCTTGGGTCCTGAAGCACTCAGACCTGGAGAAGCAGGACAACAGCTGGAAAGAGGTGAGTGGGTTAGCAGGCCATCCGTGTTGTCTTGGCCCCTGGCTACACTGCAGAGTCCCTCACTTGTGGGGGAGGGGACAGGGATAATACTAACTCTGTCTCACAGGTCACACCCTTGCACTTTGGGCTCCTTGATCCTGGGATATCTACCCCATAGTTTCAGCTGATGGTTGGGGACTCGTGAGGAGCCCCCAGTCAGTGCCATCCTTCCATGCCTGGGAGAGACGCTGGGCGTCTTCCTGTGTTCTTGGCCAGGCCTCTGCCCTCTCTTTGGCGTCACTTGTGCCTTTCTGAAAAGCAAGGCCTCTAAGAAGCTGTGTGATCTTGAGCAAGTCACTCTGTCCTTCCCTGCCTGGGCTCCAGTTACCTCAGTGGTGAAATGAGAATCACATCTGTGCTGTAGCCCAGCCCCCTTTGTGGAGACCAGTTAGGTCACGTTGGTGAATTTGCTTAAGCCTCAGGTGCACTGTCCATCTAGCAATATTCTGAGTCAGGAAAGAGTGGGCACACAGGCTCTTTGCTCATGACAGCCCGAGGAAGTGGTGTGTCAGGAGATTTGGTTGCAAGCGACAAAACCTAATTGTGGGGAACCGCGGCAGGAGAGGATTGGATTGGGCCTCAAGAGGGCTGGTGACACAGGTTCTGAAAACTTATGCAAGTCCCAGGGGACCCGCTCTAGCCTGAGGGTAAGACAGGTCCTGAGCAGGAACCTTCAGGCCGCTGCTGTCACCACCAGCTGAATGGTGGCCACCAGGTGCTTTGGTGCTGCCACCACATTCAGAATAACTTCTACAAAGACTCTTTCCCGGGGTTCTGTCTTGGAGCTCTGACTGACCAAGCCTGGATCACATGCCTATGGAGGGAGTGATAGACGCACTGTAGCCAGAAACTGATCCACAGGGATCCCAGACCAGTGCTGACCTCACTCTTGCTCTACAAGAGGAGACTCAGGCGTGGGATCCAGGGTCAGCTCCCACACTGACCTCCTGTCACCTTTCCTTGGTGCGCTGGTGGTCAGAACTCACTCTTCCTGCCTCTCTTCCTTGACAGACGCGGAGCGAGAAGATCCTCGACAAGGAGGGGGTTTCTGAAGCTGAGCTTGGGGGAGCTGCCTTAAAAAGGTGCTGGCATCGCCTCCCCCTGCCCTGCCCGATAGCCCCTCCCCTGTCCCATCCTTCAGGCCCCTCTCTCTGCCCCACTCCTTGTCTGTCTTCTTTCCCTTGCCCCATGCGCCCACAGCACTTCAGCAGAGCTGATGGGACCTTGGGATGTGGTTTCTATGGAACTGAAGTCACTTAGGAGCCAGGATGCTTGAGACAATTAGAATTCCAGCCCTTGATTATTCTTGTTTGTTTGATTGTGGATTGTGGATACACATGAAAACCCAGGACCGCATACATCCGAGCTGGGAAAGAAACTTTTCAGCTCCTCTTGGGGTTCCTTCCTGTGTCTGGAGTTAGGGGAGTCAGGCTGGGCTTCCATTCCTGGGATTACCAAGCAGCTTCCTCTGGGGCTGGCCCTGGGCCGTGGCCAGGGAGACCCCGGGGCTGTCGGGACCATATCTCCACTGTTAGGAAACCCTGAATAGAATGATGGCAACAGAACCCCATCGGGGCCACGAGAGGAACCTCAAGTCAGGCAGGCCCAGGGTAGGAAGGTGGACTCCGGGATCAGAGTATGGGGTTTGAATTCCAGCTCTGCCATTTCTAGGAATGCGACCTTGGGTGATACTTCCCATGTCACTCTAGTGGGGACAGTAGCACCTGTCTCCTCGAGTCCTGGGAGGGCGCAATGGTCTGACCTCTGAGATGTACTTACGCACACCTGACTCGAGGTCATCACCCCACACATGCAATGGAGAGTCAATGTCATCTTGCTTGGGTTCCCCCAAAAGCAAGCACAGGATTTGAGAACTTGTCTCAAGATCCTGAGACAAGGATTTGAGAGCAGATGGTTTATTTGGGAAGGGATTTTAGGAAACACTGGAAGTGACACAAGGAAGGGAAGGCAGCCAACAAAGGGGGATATTGTCCCTTGGACAACCGGTCAGTTTCACTGAGGGACCCTGGGAGCCAGAGTGGGCATGCAGTGCAGAGTCACCTGTCCAAGGAGCAAGAAGGCTGGGCACTGGGCCGCCAGCTTCTGCCCGTTGTTTTGCTGAGGGCTGTGTGTAGGGGCAAAGCTCTTTGATGGTTGTAGCTTCCTCTGCGTGGACGCCAAGTGTGCTCTTGCAGTCACACAAAAAGCCCTTTGGTGGAGAATGGCAGGTGTTTAGAGGGTGCTGTGTTGGGTGTAGAGGTGTGGGTGTGGAGGCGATGTAGGGTAGGCACCACAAGACATGAGCAGGACTGTCATGGTCCCAGTCGTGGACCAGCGAAGAGGACTAGTTATCTTCCACTAACCCCACTCTTCCTCCTCTGCTCCTCCCAGGACCAAATCTGTTTCGTCCATGTCTGAGTTTGAAAATTTGCTTGACTGTTCCCCCTATCTTGCCGGTGAAGCTGCGCGGGGCAAGAAGCTGCCCAATAACCCTGCCTTTGCCTTTGTGGGCACCCAGCCGGAGGACCCAGAGAAGGATGCCCAGGAACATCCCTCATCACGGGACTGCAACCGCCTGGGCGCCCTGGGCTGCCAGGAGCCGGCAGGGAGGCAGATGCAGCGAAGCTACACGGCTCCCGACAAGACGGGCATCCGCGTGTACTACAGTCCCCCGGTGGCCCGGCGCCTGGGTGTCCCTGTGGTCCACGACAGGGAGGGCAAGATCATCATCGAGCCTGGCTTCCTCTTCACCACTGCCAAGCCCAAAGAATCAGCTGAAGCTGACGGGCTGGCTGAGAGCTCCTACAGCCGGTGGCTCTGCAACTTCTCACGGCAGCGCTTGGACGCAGGCTCTGGGAGCAGCCCCTCCACAGCAGGGCCTGGCTTCCCGGCGGCCCTGCACGACTTTGAGATGGCTGGCAACATGAGCGACGACATGAAGGAGATCACCAACTGCGTGCGCCAGGCCATGCGCTCGGGCTCGCTGGAGAGGAAAGTGAAGAGCACGTCCAGCCAGACGGTGGGCCTGGCTACTGTGGGCACGCAGACCATCCGCACAGTGAGTGTGGGCCTGCAGACAGACCCACCCCGCAGCAGCCTCCATGGCAAGAGCTGGTCACCCCGCAGCTCGTCACTCATGTCCGTGCGCAGCAAGCAGATCTCCTCCTCCCTGGACAAGGTGCACTCGCGTATTGAGCGGCCGTGCTGCTCGCCCAAGTATGGCTCGCCAAAGCTCCAGAGGCGGTCCGTGTCCAAGCTGGACAGCGCCAAGGACCGCAGCCTGTGGAACCTGCACCAGGGCAAGCAGAATGGCTCCGCCTGGGCCCGCTCCACCACCACGCGGGACAGCCCTGTACTGAGGAACATCAACGATGGACTGTCCAGCCTCTTCAGTGTGGTGGAGCACTCGGGGAGCACGGAGTCTGTCTGGAAACTGGGCATGTCTGAGGCTCGGGCCAAGCCCGAGCCGCCAAAGTACGGCATCGTTCAGGAGTTCTTCCGCAACGTGTGTGGGCGGGCACCAAGCCCCACCTCGGTGGCAGGGGAGGAGAGCACCAAGAAACCGGAGCCCCTCTCCCCAGCCAGCTACCATCAGCCAGAGGGCATGGCCAGGATCCTGAACAAGAAGGCAGCCAAGTCAGGCAGCAGTGAGGATGCCAGACTCTCGATTCTCCCCCAGGTGGGGAAGGACGGTGTGCCCCGGGATGGAGATGGAGCCACAGTCCTTCCCAATGAGGTAGGCGGGTGGGGCCTTCTCTTTTTTCTTGGCTGGGGTGTTGACCTATAAGGTCCAAATCCTTTTGGTTTCAGATTCAGGAATATGGTGGTGTGTTTCAAAAAGTCATTTTGCTGGTCTGGCATGGGGGTTGGGGGGGACGCCTGTCTGGTTTAGTCAGTAGAGCATGCGACTCTTGTTCTCAGGGTCTGTGAGTTCAAGCCCCATGTTGGGTGTAGAGCCCACTTTAATGAATGACTAGAAGAAAGGAAGGAAGGAACAGGGATTGGAAGGCCCCAGACCTGGAACAACAGACCTGATGGACACGTGGTCAGAACCCAAGAAGGCAGTGAGCATGACTTACCCGACCACCACACACGAGAGACTGCTAGCATCCCCTCCAGGGAAGAGGTGTACTCACTGCTCTCCTGCAACCCAGTGGAGCCAATGTGTCTGGTTCATGAGAGCCAACTGTGTGCATCTCTGTGTTCAGTAAAGCACCTGGAGACCAGCCCCAGTGGGAGGATTTACACCATGAAAATAGACAAGTGCTCTAAATCAGGGCTTCTCCCCTCGCTCCTAGAAAACTAGTTATTAAACATTTTCCCGCAAACCCCTGCCCACCCCCTAAGACTCTATGCCTAAGTGCTTCCATTTTCTCTGAGAATCCTTTGCTGCACAGTGCCCCCCTGCCAAATCAATTTCATATTTGGTTAGGGATTATTTGCATGTTAGTAAAAAAAAAAAAAATGCATATAAGTTAGTTTTCCAGAAAGGGAAATGGTGGAATATCTATGGATCCCAGGTATAAGGACCTGAAGGCCTCAGCCTTTGTCTTCCTCTTCTCTCCCTTGAGCTTTGTTTTCTCTGATGTCTACTCTCTTCCTGTGTCTCTCTCTTTCTTGCCTTTGCATATATGGTCCCAGGTCTGCTTCTATAACACCTTCTACTTCAGGCATCTAAGAGATAATGACTCAAATCCCTCTGTCCAATTCCAGATTTCTAGAAGAAAGAAGAAATGGGGAATGGTCCAACTTGAGTGCAGTGTGCTACCTTGGTCTAGGGTGTAGTCAGGGGTGACATGTGGTCTGTAGTGCACTCAGTAAAGTAGGTGGGGACTCAGGGAAGTGGCATGGGCTGTGACTGACCCATCTGTATGTATTGTATGTGTGGGTCATTTCTAGCTTTTCTCTATCATACATGATGCTGTGGTGGACATGGTGCAGAAACAGTCCACATGTCAGATTATTTCCTTAGGTTTGAGTTGCAGAAATGGGATTACAGGATAAAAGAACATAAAATGCAAAGGCATTTGATAAGTATTGCCAAATTGTCTTATTTTTTTTTAATTTTTTTTTTTATGATTTTATTTTTAAGTAATCTCTACACCCAGCATGGGGCACAAACTCACAAACCCCAGATGAAGAGTCGCATGCTCCACTGACTGAGCCAGCCAGGCCCCCTGCCAAATTGTCTTTCAAAAGATTTTGCCCAGGGACGCCTGGGTGGTTCAGTCTGTTGGGCGTCTAACTCTTAATTTCCACTCAGGTCATGATTTTACAGTTCATAGGGTCAAGTCCTGTTTTCGGCTCTGTGCTGACAGTGTGGAGCCTGCTTGGGATTCTCTCTCTCCCTCTCTCTTTGCCCTCGCTTGCTCTCTGTCTCTCTCTCTGTCTCTCAAAGTAAGTGAGTAAACACTAAAAAAGAAAGGAGTTTGCCTAGTTTCTACAGCCCCTGGTAGTATGTGGTTAGTGCTTTACTTCTCGATACTCTCAAACCAGCTGGCCTTACTTAAAAATAAAATCTTTTAAATTCTTACCTTTTTTTTTAACTTAAAAAAAATTTTCAGCTTAATGTATATACTGAACATATAATAAAAATATGCCTCACTGAATTGTCATAGACTAAACACACTCATCCTCTTAGGGTTCTTTAGAGAAATGGAACCAATAGACTGTGTGTGTTTGTATATATGTGTGTCTGTGCACATGTATGTGTATAGAGAGAGATTTATTATAAGGAAGTGGCTCACATGATTATGGAGTCCTAAAATCTACAGGGTTGGAGACCCAGCAGAGCTGATGGTATAGTTCCAGTCTGAGCCCAAAAACCTGAGAACCCGAGAACCAGGAGATCTGGCGAGGTAATTCCGGTACAGCACATGTAGCTAATGTAGCTCCAGTCCTAGGGCCATCAGGCAGGAAGAATTCTTATTCAGGGAGAGTCAGCGTTTTTGGTCTTCCAGCCTTCAACTGATTAGATGAAGCCCATCCACATTTGAGAGGGCAATATGCTTTGCTGATTTAGATGTTAATCTCATCCAAAAGCAACCTGACAGAAGCTCTCAGGATAATGTGTGACCAAATATCTGGGCACCTTGTGGCTCAGTCGAGTTGACACATTAAAATTAACCATCACCCCCATATCACCACCTGTACATCGAGAGACACAGGTGAGAGAGCATGCTTGTATAAATAAATGTATGCCACTATTAATACAAATTGCTAACATTTAGTGTGTACCTAGCAGGCACTATGCCAAACGCTTTGCATATTATATTTGATTTGACCCTCACAACATTTTGAGAAAGGTATCATGTCCTTCACCTCAGAGAGAAGGAAATCAAGGTTCAGAGAGGTTAAGTAACTTATCCAAGGTCATAGAGCTGGTAATTGTAGGGCTGGGATTTGAACCAAGCAATTAGTTCTATAGCAGCACTTTTAACCATTATCCCTGTGTGTTGATAATAGTAAAAAATTAGAAACCACCTAAAATGCATGTAAAAAAATGAATTAGATAAGTAAATGAAGGTACTGTATTTCCATTCAGTAGAATAATATATAATATACAGCCATTAAAAAGAAGAAAATCTAGATATACATAATGACAGAAAAGTGCTTATGTTTTGCAGTTAGAAAATATGCTGTAGGCGATGATGTCATTTTGATAAATGTATGGGTGTGCAACGTGTTGAGAATTTATCTTTGATGGACCACATCTACTTTTTTCTCTGTACGTTCCAGAATTTATTACATTCTGGAGTGTTACTTAGGAACATTTATTATTGTTCTAATGGGAGAAAATCAATTTAAAAAAATTGGTCGAGGGAGGGGCCATACCATAGCCCTTGGAACTGGTTCCCCAGGCAAGGCTGGGTCCAAATTCCTTGCTTGGCTGGCCGCCCAGCCTCTGGGTAGTCAGTGCCTCTTGGCTCTTTCTGACTTCCTCCTCCCTTCCTCTAGGATGCTGTTTGTGACTGTAGTACTCAGTCCCTCACCTCCTGCTTTGCCCGGGCATCCCGTTCGGCCATCCGGCACTCTCCTTCCAAGTGCAGGCTGCATCCTTCAGAGTCCGGCTGGGGTGGGGAGGAGAGGGCAGCTCCCCCCAGCGAGTGACAGAGCAGCCGTGCTCCCCACCTCAACCAGCCCAGTCCCTGGACAGCCGAAGGGAACAAACGGAGAAGAGACGCCACGAGGGGCCTGTGCCGTCGGCATTGCCTCACCCTGAAGGGACAGCAGCTGCCCCACTGCCAGACGACAGCATCCCTATCCAGGTAAAGCGGGGTCTCCCGCTGACTGCTGGGTGGTGATCTCTGACTTCCCAGGGGAAGCCAGTGAGCGGAAGAAAGACCACAACTAGGCTTTGGAAGTAGCTCCAGAGAGATCCTTTGGGAGCCCATCCACTGGGAGAGCCTTGCCTGGTTCTGCCCACACCCACTTCTCGTAAGAGCCAAGGAAAGGATACACTACTGGCCATGCTCCTCAGGGACAAGAGCTCACAGAGATGTTCCCTGCCAACCACGTCCTCCTTCACGGGGAGGAAACACCGATGAGAAGAACAGCCTTTGCTGTAGGACTCAACGTGGAGTTCCTGGTGGAGCTGAGGTGGGCATCATCCCCATCCCTTCCTTCTCCCCACATTTTCCTCCTCCCAGCTCCACTCTCTGGATTGCTGTGGCTCTAGGGGGCATGATAGGGCATAGCCAGGGCCAGGTATCTGCTTGGAATCCTGGAGCCCTGGATCTCCCTGTGCAGAGCCTGGATGCAGCAAGGACTGGAAGATGAGGTAGAAATGTGTGGGGCTTAGCGCTGGGTAGCCACGGGACCTGCCTCCCTGGTCAAGATGGCTCGGGGGGCACCAGCCTTCCCAGGAAACACCTTGAAGACAGAAATAGGTAGAGTCAGTTTCAAGACCTGGTGCACAGATGAATGCCTAAATGCCCACCACCTTGATGGCTGGGGGCCTCTCTCCCTGGCACTGGAGGAGCGACACATCTCCTCTGTGTTTACATCCTGTGGCTGGTGGAGGGCAAACATATTCCCAATAAGAGACTCCCAACTGGCCACGCCAGGCCCAGGAGCACTCCAAGAGGCCAGTGCCCCCGGACACAGTAGCGGACTGGGGCCTGGAAACACATTTCCTCGGTTGTTTATTTGAAGTTTTCTTACTATAAATATTTAAGGTAGTTTTACTTTATTTTAATAATTTAATTTACCCCAAAGTCCCTAAGGTAATTTATTGGAGGTTCAGACATGTATTCTTGCCACTGGGACAAAGTGAGGCTTCTAACACGATGGACAGGCATGGGGTCCCCCATGTACATGAGGCAGCTTGGCAGCTGAGCTCTGTGGTCTCTTGGTCAAGTTTGGAGGGCCCCCTGGTAGAACTGGAGCCCTGCAGCTTGCTCCCCAATACCGCTGACCATCTGGCCTCTGAGCACTGCTTTTCACTCACTGCTAGGTACTTGGCTGGCCCCCAGCAGTCAGTCTGTAAACGCTCGCTGACAGGGTGGAGGGCTGGGCCGCCGTCCCCACTTTCCAAACATTCTCCATCTGCCCTCTCATTTTCCTCCCTCGGAAACCTTTTTTTATGAGTCAAACACAAATTCCTAACTGTCAAGAGCATGGATATCTCTCCAAGTTCCCCAAGTGAGAACTCACAGGAAAACAGGACTGAACTTCGAGAATGTTGTTTATTGCAGCTTTGCACATGGACCCGAGAGTGCCAGCCTGCCTCAGCTCTCACCACCTGCCAGCCTTCTCACCAGCCTCTTTCCTTAGCCTTATGGCCTCTCCTGGCCCCTGTTCCAGCCCCAGCTCCACTGCCCACCCTTGCCCACGTCCCACGTGAGCTGCCTGAGCCATCGGACAGACTACCATGTAGCTCATTGCGATGTGGCGGGAAAGGCCTCAGCTGGCCTCCCCCTTGGTGCCAGTAAACCCATTTCGGTTTGCACACATGCCCGCACACACACACAGATGCGTGGACCTCCTGCAACTGGCTGGGGGCCCAGAGTGGAAATACCAGAGTAAAGCCACTTGTCTGTGGAAAGGAAGACCAAAAGCCAGCAGCTTTGCTTGTTTGCCCCCAGGACTCAGGAGACCCCTCTGCACTCCCACCTGCTCCCGATCCTGCCCTTTCAGGGTCACCTGGACAAGTCACCAAAGTCCTTCATATCCATTCCCAATGGGCATAATGTGAGGGTCCTGTCGGTCTGACCAGGCGCTTCCTCATGCCATAATGACTTGCATGGGCAGAGTGGGCAGGCCAGTGGAGCCAAGGACCTGTCCTTTTTGGGATGCCACTGCTCCCACCCAAAAGGTCAGGGGGCCCCTCCAAGGTTATGTCCGGGTGAGGGGATTCAGATTCACACCAGGCCACACACCACCAGAGGCCTTCCGCCACCTCCCCAAGCCATGGAGGGTCAGGGAGGCAGCACTCCCAGCCTTGGGGAGAAATCCTCACGAGACCTGAGTCCTGAGGCCTACGGACCACTCAGCCTTACCATCGTCCTCGTCCAAGATTGTCCTTGCCATCTCTTGTCTCAGCACCTAGCTGCCCATCCTCCCAGCTGGTGTCAGAGGCTCCAGATCTTGGTTTTCAGTAAAGTCCCAGTTTCTACTTCCTGCATGCCACTGTGCAAGGTCACTCATCACTGTTCCTACAGAAGCCTCTGGACATGGGGCTTGATGGGGTTCAAAATGTTATGTGTAAATATTGGTTTGGTTTGATTTTTAGCATTTTGATTAGTAACTGGTTGTGTTTTCTTTTCTGGGGTGTGGGGGGTTGGTTTGTAAAATCTCTACTCTTTTGGAATGTAATTTCTAAGTTTGTTTGTTTCTTCAAATGCCTTTTAAGTCTTGGTAACATTCCCAAAGCAGAAAACTGCCTGACCCACAGTGGGGATTCCCCTGGAGCACCCAGGAAGGAACACTGCCCTTCTTCCCATTTCCCCCCTTCCTACTCCTCCTCTGCTATTTTACTCTCAGCACTTTCTTCCTCTTCCTTCTCCCTGACTCCTTCTATCCTTCTTCCTTTTCTGCCATCTCCACTCTATTCCACCAAAGTCCCAAGGAACCCAGGGGTCCTAATTTCCTACAGACCACTAGGCTTATTGTGTTGGCACCAGTTGGTTGGAGAGGAGGGGGGACATGGGGAACCAGTTGCCCTGATTGGCCCTAAACTGGATGTCTTTTATGTCTGACCTCTTCCCAAAGTCAAACAAGATCCTCCTGGTGGCAGTGATGTCTGTGTTTGAAATGAAAATCAGACCATGTTGGCACATCAGTGGCTCTGAAACCTTGCATGCACAAAGCATCTGTGTCCAATTCCTTGTCTCCCTCTTTTCCTCCCACTTTGATCCCCACCAAAGACTGACCAATTTAAAACCACCTCCAAGAGGTCTTGCTTTCTATGAACTCAAAATGGGCCCCATCTCTTGGTCTTCCCAGGGACATTCCTCTCCCAGCTGCTCTCCCAGCTGACAAAGTCAAGGGCCCAAAGACTTGACCCTCTTACACGCTGCCCACCGTATGGTTCCATCATACCCACCGCTGTGCACCTTTCATGGTTACATCACCCAGCCTGTTGTCCACTTGCCCACCCAACTTTCAGGCTCTTCCTCCCTCTCCCCTTCCCCTCCCATCCAGAATGTCCCTCACTTTCCAGCCCCATCAGCGCCCCCCCCCCCCCGGCCCCAAGGTCCCACTACCTCTTCATTCATAATAATCATTATCCCATACACA